TCACATCTACTAAATTAGAAATTCTGGGTGTGAGGCCAATGAATCTATATGGTGATGCAGGCTGAAATTTGAGAATTATATAATTGTTTCAAGAAAAAGAGCAACCTAAAATTATGAAAACTAATGGCTAGAAAAAGAACAAATTCCCCTCTAGTGATCTCATTTTATGAGACCAATATAGCCTTCACTTCAAAATCAGACATAAATACTATCAGAAAGGAAAATTATAAGCTGATGTCACATGGAATATAAACTCTCTAAACAAAATATTAACAAATCGAATCCACCCTTGCTTGTGTGTGTGTGTCTCTGAGAGTGCCATAACTAAGTTGGGAATATCCCAAGAAGTAAAAGATATTTTTATATAAGGAAATCTATTAGTACATTTACTACATTAACAAATTAAAGGAGAAAAGTGATATGATGATCTCTAAAGGTAGAAAGAATTTTTGATAAGTTTAAATATGCATTCACGATAATCATCATCATTATTAACAGTAACTCTTAGCAAACTAGAAATAGAAAAATTTTAACCTGATCAAAACTATTTACTAAAAACCTTCACTAAATATAATATTTTTGATAAGATCATAGATATATTCCTTTTAAATTGGGAACAGGACAAAGATACTGGCTACTACTGCTTCTATTCAGCATTGTATTGGAGGTCCAAGTCTAGGCAGTAAAATAAAAGAAATAAAAGGATATGGATTAGAAAGAAAGAAATAAAGCTCATTCTTTTTAAGTGATATTATTGTGGATACAAAAATTCAAGACACTTGATAAATAAATAAATAAAGTTCAACAAAGTTGCCTGAGGTCACTTTGTATGAGATCACTGCACAAAATCAATAGGATTCCTCAAGAGATCAAGAGATCTCATTCAAAACAACACTGGAAATTTTAAGTCACTTAGGACTAAATCTAACAAAATAAGGAAGATATATAATCCTAATTATTTAGTGATATAAACGCTAAACAGATGGAGATTATAGAGTGTTTGTGAAAAGGATGACTCAGTATCTTAAAGATGTCATTTCTTCCCAGATTAGGGTTGCCAGATTTAGCAAATAAAAATAGAGAATACCCAGTTAAACTTAAATTTCAATAAATAATGAATAACTCTTTTGTATAAGTATGTCCCAAATATTGTATGGAGCCAGTTTATGGTAAAAGGAAACAATAAAGGATACAGATGAACACCCAGATGAAAGAGATGTGTAGGGCAAGGTATGTGGGAAGGGGCGCAGAGCTTCCATGCTCTCTCCGGGTGCACTACTCTCCCAGCACTTCCACGTGTTCAGCAACCTGGAAGCTCCCTAAAGCTAATATCTTTGGGATCTTTACGAAGGCTTCATCCTGTAAGCATGATTATCATTAACTTAATTTCCAGCCCCTCTTTCTTGAAGAATAGGGATTGGGGTTGAAAGTTCCAAGCTTTTAATCATATCCTGGTCTCTCTGGTGACTAGCCTCCATCCAGGAGCCCACCAAGAGTCACCTCACCAAAGTAAAGACATTGCTATCACTCAGAGAATTCCAAAGGATTTAAGAGCTCAGTATCAGGAACCCAGGTCAAAGAGCAAACATTAGAACAAAAGATGCTCTGCATGCTCTTATCACTTAGGAAATTACAAGGACTTTTAGGAGCTCTGTGCCAGATACCAGTGGCAGAGACCAATATATATATTTTCTATCATCTCACAGGTAGGCTTTTGCCTTAGACCTGTATGATTAAAGATATATTTTTAAGATGTCTAAAACAAAAAAGGGGAGTGTCTTCCCAAAGATAAATATTTTTTGCCCCAGAACGCAGAAACCTCAGGAGTGATTATACCTGTATTGGCCTATTCATTCCTGCCAGGTGGCAACAAGAGGGGAAAGAAGAATCTCCACATCATTGGTCATTATTTTCATTCATTTTCTTCTCTTTCCATGAGGAAATCATAAAGTTCTTTCAATTCAAGGTAATAAAAAGCAAAAATGAAAGTACTATAATTTAAAATGAGTCATGACACCCATTTGACCTCAATAACCACATTCCAGGTGTGATCTGATCCTAGTCTCATCCTGTGGGTAGATCCAGTATCTCACAAGAAAAGTAGACCAGATGGGCAGACGGTGTTGGTAAGATCAATTCAGGAGTCTATCCTAGTAGATAGATGCAACCGAGGAACAGGAGATTTGGAGGAAAAGCACACTTACACAAAAATGCAATCACGAGAACAGCTTGTATCAGTTAGGATTCTTTAGGTGTAAAAAACAAAAACCAATCCAGCTTAACAATATTGGAGCATTGAAGAATATAGGACATCTTTTCACAATGTCAGAGTGAGTCTTGGAAAAGTCACGAGCCAAAGTATTCATGGGGAAAACGGAAACTAATGGACAGTCGCAGCCAGATGGGATTGATGAGCTCCAACTGCTTTTTCCACCTTTCTCCACATTCCACATGAGCTTCAATTCCAAGGAGCAGAAAGCTTTTGATTGGTATAGCTTGGGTCACATGTCCATCCCTTGGCCAGGGGAATGAGGACATCTCGATTGATAGTTCCACGGTTGTATCCAATAGTGAAGGAGTAGTTTATTCAATGTACACTCAGGGCACCATTTCAAAAGAAGAGGAAATGGATTTTTGGCAGGCATACACAACAGATGTCCACTGCATGACTAAACAACACAGGTTTTGGGAAAGATATCAATGTAGAACGATGTCGTGATTGCCAGTTGAACCTTGGTGCAAGACCATGATTTTTTTTTTTAATAAGAGAAAGGATTTTCTCAAGATTAATCATTCTGGGAAGTGGTTAATACTAGAGTAGGAAATGAAGTAGGCCTCTGTTTGGGAGAGAAAGGGTCTTTCTTCACTCTCTGGGGCTGGAGGCATTATGCTGACACCTGGATGTTATTCTAGAACTATTCCTGCCTGTGGTGACTGCTGGGAATCTCTGCTTGCTATATGAGATGCAACAGCAACAACAATGAAGAAAGATAAGCTACTTTCTGGAGCTTCCAGTATCCATGACAGTGGTTGTGGAGTCCTCCCATGTCAAGGGAGGCACCTTGTTTCATGCAAAACAAAACAAAAAACTGCCCTCTCCAACAACAAGCAAAACAAACCAAAAACTCCCAGTTATTTGGACTGCAGGAGAGTTTTCTTTGCCCAAAACCAGGATGGGGTTTCCTCAGTGGTAACCAGTAGAGGGTCTGGGGCCAGCAGAGTAACACTCAAGAGAATCAGCAGCAGCAGCATCTCACAGAAACAAGATGAGAATGCTTGAGTGAAGGGAACTGCTTATTCCAGAGCAAGCATACGTACCCTACACATTGAGTGAAAATCCAAGTAACCATTCTTGCATAATAAGGTAACATATAAAAAGACAAAGAGGAAGGCAGAAACATACACACATATATAACATGTAAATGTGTACATTTACGCATATGTATACATATAATAAACATAATATGTATTTCACTTAGGAAATAATTACTATTACTATTTCCAACAGGTTTCATTCCCCTTTTAATTTAATGTATTTTTGATGTACATAACCTTGCCATTTTCATAGCATCAAATATCCTTTTCCTCTATAATTTCTTCCATTTCTTTTATGCTTAGAAAGTGCTTTCCTGAAAAAGGCTGGTATTACGGTGTCTATAATTCACTTTAAATAACCTTGGCATAGACAGTGTACTATCATGTATGTGCTATTTGGCTTAAGCTACATGGTATGTGTGGTCATTTGCCCTAATCAGTATTTCCCATCCAAACAGTGATCAGCTAGCATTCAACAGAAAGGCCACACTCCAAAGACTACAAGTGCTTCAAGCTAATGTATCTCTGATCACCACCTGGACTTTTGCTAGTCAACATATGGACGGCAGAAAAGGTTTTTTGTTGGTGAGATGAGATTTTATTGGTGAACTTAATGACATTTGAGATATGTACATTGGACAAAAAATTTCAGAGACAGTTCCTACCCTTGCTTGAACAGTATTGAAGAATCTAGGGAGCCCTATATCCTGTTTGCTTAGGGATGGCACCAAGACTTGATCCCTAAGGAGATGTTTTGCCTAATTTCTAATAAAAACAATAAATGGCTGTATGTGTGGAAGAATTTGGTCTGAGAATTGCTTTCTTTATAACCTGATGGAGAGATTGTGGGGAAGTAGTTAATCCTCACACACCTCTAGTCCTTGGAGGCTACTCTTAATAAACAAAATTACCTAAGAGTTGTACTTGATCAAATTGGCTTAGGCCAATTTACAAAAACCAATTAAATATCCACCTGTGTTTTCTTCTAATTTATTCTATGGTTTTATATCTGACATATCTTTTACATCTGATCCATCTGGAGTTTTTAAACTAAAATGGCTAAGGAGTGGAGCCATTCACATAAATGCATGAGGCAAGCTGGTGTAAAAACAGGAGGTAGGAAGAACTATGCCAAATTGCAGAGCACCGAGGGGCTGCCACTCCTCTGTTCATGCCAATAGCTGCCATCTGGGAATGCAGGGCCAGTGCTGTCATATCTTCTGATTTGCTTTTTCTTCCCAAGCTTTTTTCTTTATAACATTTATATTTTGATGAAAATTCTTCTGATTTTTAAAATACCATGCAACAAACAGTATACATTTGTGGCTCAGTTATGGTTCAAGGATGGCCAATTTGCAATCTTTGCTTTATAGTATAAGATGTGAATGTAATATATTTATTCTCCAAGTAGGCAATTTTTCCTCAAAACTATTTGTTAAAAATATAGCCTTTCTTGTTAAGATCTTATCCTTCCTTCATCAAACACTATATACCTGTTTACTAGCCGCTATTATGTCCTGCATTTTTGGGTAAATTGAAGAATGACTTGCCCATCTTCAACAACTTCTTTTCAGATTTTGATTTGAAATTTTAATTTCAAATTAAGTCCTTATTAATTCAAAAAAATTTAAAATAATAACATTTAATAACAAATATTTATTTTAATATTTTAATTAAAATATTTAAATTTTTGTACATTTATTTTGTATCTAAATATTTGACTTCAGTCTTTTCTAGTTCTAAGAATTTTACAATTTATTCTTTCAGGTTTTCTAAATGTATAATTGAACAACTGGTCATCATCTTCTGGAGTATCAAACATTTTATATAACATAGAGTGTTTTTATTTATTGAAAGCTTGAAGGGCTCAACAGCAAAACTGTTATACCTTGGAACTATTTTTTGAAGTAATTCCATGATTAGTGGATATAAGTTTTGTGATTCTAGTCGTTTTTATTTTCCTAAAAAATTATTTTACTTGTTTACATAGACTTTTATTAATACCAACTAAGTGCCTCTGTTCTATGAGCACTGGGCAGTGAAGACTCACAAAGCCCCTATTCTCAAGGAATTTACATTCTCAGAAGCAAAGACAGATAACCAACCAAGAATTAAATTTTAAAAATATCAAGTAATGAAAAACACTCTGGGGAAATTAAGAGTGTGATACAGATAGGGAGTGACAGGCTGAGGGATGCTGGAGAATTATGGGTAGTCCAAAAAAAAAAGAGAAAAACCTCTCTGAGGAAGCAACACTTACGCCAAGACTTCATTGACAAGAAGGAATGATGGAAGATCCAGGGAAGGAGATTTGTCTCAGTCCATTGGGCTGCTATAACAAAATACCACAGACTGGGCACCTTACAAACAGTAGAAATGTATTGCTCATAGTTCTGGAGGTCGTAAGTCCAGGATCAAAGTGCCAGCTGGTCAAGTGAGAGCTCTCTTCAGGTTGCAGACCTCGCCTTGTATCCTCATGAGGTGGAAGGGCTAGGGAGCTCTATGGGATATCTTCTATAAAGGCACTAATCCCATTCATGATGGCTCCACCCTCATGACCAAATCTCCTCCCATTGGCCCCACCTACTAATATCATCACCTTTGGGAATTTAGAATTTAGCATGAACTTTGTGGGGACATAAACATTCAGACCATAGCAACATTCCACATCGAAGGCAAAGTTAGTTCAAAATGTAGGAAATATTTGTGTACAAAGAAAATTGGTATGTTCCAAGTTACTCATGTCACTGGAATTTTCAAAGTTATTAGTACAGCGTTAGCTGGTAATGTTAACTTCTTCCATATCTATGGCTGTTATTCCTTCTCATTCTTAATAATGCTCACTTGTATTTTACATCTTTGCTTAATAAAAGTTGCCCAAGATTTATCTCATATTGTGCATTTATTTTTAAATCATACAAAACTTCTAGATTATCAATTCTACGTTGATTTTTATATTTAGGATTTTATTCCTCTCTTCTTGTATCCTTTTCTAAAATTCTTCTTTTTGTTCTCTATTTTTAGTTATAAAAACTATAAGACTATGAAATTTTCTCTGAGCTAACTTTTGCCCACGTTCAAAAAATGCTAATACATTGTGTTCTTGTTATTCTTGTTTTAAGATTGTCTCAAATTACAATATTGATTTTATCGTTGGCCCAAGATTTAGAGACTTTACTTTGAACTTTGAAATGACAGAGATTTTTTTCCCCATTTAATACTTTGTTATTAACATCCAGTTTAATTACATTGTTATCAGAAAATCTGACCTGATGAACTTGATTTGAGAAATTTATTGAAATATTCTTTGTAGACTAAGTATATGAGTTTCTTTTTTCCCCTTTCTCTGTTTGGTAATTACTGCATGGGCATCTGAATATAAAAGGTATATTCTTCTCTTGTGAATATAAAGTTTATTGTGTATACAGTGATTCACCCTTAAAATTTGCAATTTTTCCTTGTTATTACCTTTTAAAAATCTATGTGCTCTATCAAAGTTGAGAGATGTACCAGCTGTGCAAAACAGGGTTTTTTCCCACATTTTGCTTTATATTTCTAACAGTTTAGTAGGACCAAGAAAGTGTAAGAGCTAAAAATCCAAAAGTACGCAGCTAGAGTATAAGACTGTTTGTTGCCAAATGTAGCAACTGTATCATGTATCAGGATGTTTCTTGTTGCAAATACTACAGAAAAAGCTAACTCAAACTCACTTAAACATTATAGGGGCTATACTTCTTGAATTGAGAAGTTCAGAGAAAAGGCAGCCTATAAGTGTGCTTCAACAGACCTCTGGCATTCTCTCCATGATCTATCAGTTTTATCTGCAGGTTTGGTTTCCTCATGGTAGCAATACGAATGAGGCAGCTCAAGGTGCGACACCCGCACTTGATGCCACCCAAACCAGGAGAGGGTCCGTATCCCAAAACTCTCAGCAAAAGTTCCAGAATTTTACATGATACCACTGTCTTAGGTCAAATGTCCACATCTTACAGTCACTACCCTGGGGTTGGTATGTACTCATTGACTTAGTCCAGTTCACATGCTCCATTTACAAGAATGGAGTAGTGTTTCCCAGAATCTCATGGACCCTCCATAGAAATCAGAGACAAGGAGGAAGAACAAATGAAGAAACTCAATTCTGGTCAGAGCAGCAGTGACGTCCTTGTCTGTTGATGCTTAGCCTCACAATGGCACTTCTATATTCTGCTTTATATCTAAGGGAGCCGGAAAAGGTCATTTTCCAGAATCCACTGACCATTTGTTTCTTGTGTTTCTACCAATGGAAGACACTCATAAGTAAATCGAAGGTGGGAGGGAGAAGGTGATTCTTTTCTTGTTCCTGGCTCTGGCAGTGGCAGAGGTAGATGACTGCTGGTGGCCATGAGTTCCCGGATTCCGGCAGCCTCAGTAAGCATACAGGCTCCTGGCTTCCTGTTGCAGCAGTTCAAACAGAAATGCTCCAGCATCCTTGGGGAGAATGTGACTAGGCTCCTGGGACACCCGTAAACGTCTGCTCCTCCAACCTTAGCACAGCTGGTGACTTTCCGCATTTACTGATTTCAGGTTATTCTTATCTTCCTTCTTTGGCTCCTCCAGTTTTACAATACGTTGGCAACCAATTCACTTCATTGAATTCCCTTTGTTTGAAATACTTAAGGTGGTTTCTGTTTTCCAAACAGGATCCAAACTGATACACTACTGTGAAAAATATTTCAAGTTTCTAGGTTATAATAAACCAATAACTGATATGCATATAATTCCATAAATAAATAAATGCCCCAATGTACATGATTATAAAACCATTGAATGTTGACTTCCTAAATCTTAACCACTTTGAGAAAAAACATATTTGCTGCCTGTACAACTGTAGGGTATTTCCGTTACATAATAGGGTGCACTGTCTAAGTGTCAGTTTATTAAAAGAATAATATATTATTCTTTTCATTCATTATAAAATAATGAAGGATTCTGTCAAAAAACAAAATAGAGCATTTATTCTTATCTTTCAACGCTATGCTGAATGAGAGGTCATGTCATCTAATGAACAAGCACGGACTCTGGAGGTAATATAATAGCTGATATTGTCAACATAAAACATCTAAAAATCAATACATACATCATATATATATACAACCAGGGTTAGGAAAGGCATGATCAACTTTACAATCAAACTGTAAAATCTAAGTCAGGGACTGTTTTGTGCTGGGCTATTTCTCAGGCATACAATTATCATAATTCAGTTGTAACTTCTGGGGCTGCAGTAGGAACACTGAGAACCAGTAAAAGAGAGAGCATTGATTATCACATTAGGTAAAGGAAAAACACAAAGAAAACTGTCTACTACACATTATTTACAAAGGAATTCTACTAGAAAAGTAGCTATTATTTGATTACTGTAAATAGAACAACATCAAATGGTAGGACAGAGACCAAGCTAAGCAAAACAAATAACATCTAACGTTTTTGGGTGTTGGGAGGATAGTATGGGGAAGAGGGGTGCCTGGAGGAGATATGTGGTATTCATGAAGCATTTTATACACTTGTGGGAAATAGACAGTGGGTTATGAATAACGAGAAATTCCTCTCAGTATGTTGCAACTCCTTTATCTTTGATTCAATGAAGCAAAATAGAATGCCATGACAGTAACATTATTATAGAAATGCCCTGAATCTGTTAGGCTCTGATTTATTTCTTTAAGTAAATCACTTGAAAGTTTGGAGAGTTTAACAGTTACTGGAAACCAATTACTTTTAAAACACTTCTGGGGCCGGCTCTGTGGCCGGGTGGTTGGGTTCGCGCTCCCCTGAGGCAGCCCAGGGTTGAGATCCTGGGCGCGGACATGGCACACTCATCGGGCTACGTTGAGGCGGTGTCCCACATCCCAAAACTAGAAGGACCTGAAACTAAGATATACAACTGTGTACAGGGGGGGTTTGGGGAGGTAAAGCAGAGGGAAAAAAAAAAAAGATTGGCAGCAGTTGTTAGCCCAGGTGCCAATCCTTAAAACACTTCTGACAATGTTGACAGGTGCTATCCTATATTGTTCATAGAGATAAACATCACTATCTTTCAGGTGGCTGGTGGAGGTTGGGTGCATACTATTTCATACATTCAGCTCTCCTATATATACACAATTGCTGAAAAATAAGAATTTCTTATTTATTTATATATTATTTGGTATATAAATGTGTGCACACATATTCATTTATTCATTCAACATATATTTACAGAGAGCCACTCTAATAGTGTCAGGCACTATTCTTGGCAGTTGCGATACAAAACAGAACACAAATTCCTGCCCTCAAGAGATATATGTTCTAGTGTGGAGAGACACACAATAAAGATGAATAAGCAAACTAAATCATCCCTTACATTGTGAAAAGTCTTAGAGAGAAAAAATAAAGGGAGAGGATAAGAAATACTGGGAGGGGGTGATGTCATGATTTAAAATAGGGTGGCAAGTAGAGGACTAACTGACAAGATCGCATTTGAGCACAAACAGAGGGAGGAAGCTATTAAGGGGAAGAGCGTTCTAAGCAGAGGGAACAGCAACCGCAAAGACTGAGGTTGAGAGCTTGTGTAGAGTTGTCTTGGAACACAAGGCTGAGTGAGCACTTTGTGAGGTCAGACAGGCAACGGTTTTTACTCTGTTTGGGGAAGCCATGGAAGACTTTGAAGAGAGGAATGGTATGATCTGACTTTCTTCTTCATAAGTTTGCTTCGGCTTCTGTGTTGAGAATAAACTTAAAGGAAAGCAAGGACAGAAGCAAGACAACCAGTCCCTGGGCTACTGCAATAATCCAAACAACAGATGTTGTAGGTTATAGCAGAGACGGTAAGTAGTTGGATTCGGGACGTGTTTTGAAGGAAAAGCCAACAGATTGTTTGCAAAATGGACATGGAACATAAGAGAAAGAGAGGAATTAAAGACGAGTTTGGACAAGGAAAGATGGAGCTATTCACTGAAATGACTAAGATTATGGGTGTGGCTAAGAGAGATTTTAAAGCCTGGAAGGGCATTTTAGTGGGATTCTTATTGATTAATTCCATTAATTAATTCCAGATAGAATATAAATTACAATTAACTCATAATTAACAGAATATAATAGTCATTTAGAGAACCCGTTCTAAACATGTGCCTAGAACAAGTGAAGACCAGTGAATAACTTTTCCTAAATTACAAGTATTTATGGACCAGGAAACATACCTGTATTGTGATCCCGGCTGTATCTCGAGCAGGAAAGTCTTTGAGCAAGTCCTTTAACCTTGTTATATCTCTTTCTTAACTGATAAAATGAAGAAGTGGACTAGATGAACTCTTACAGCCCCTGACTGCATTCAAATCCCAGCTATGCCTGTTTCTGTAAACTGGGACTAACAAGTGTACCCACCACATAGTTTATTGTGAGCTAAAACGTGTAAGCACTTCGAACAACGCCTTGCACATTGTTAGTTAATATTAGTATCTATCTTCAAGTATATACCAAATTTTTCCTATTGTCTGTTCATGGGTTGTGTAGGAGAGAGGGATGATAAACTGGAACGTCCTAGAGGTAGGTTTTTTTGTTGTGAAAGAGAATAACCAGTACTTTCCCAAGGGCTCTTCACCCCAAAATGCAGCTAGGCGCGCCCAAGGGCTTCTTCTGGGTCTCCAGGCTGGGTTTATGAGCAGCACCACCTGCTGGTCCTACATGCGTCTTACTTCCTCAGCCCCGAATCTCTGGGGGACCGGCGTTCTTTCAGAGTCTTCTGCACCTAATCACAAATTACAAAAATTACAAAGCAAAACATAAAGCAACGACAGGGACCCACGCAGCCAAAAAGTAGATCCTCAAAGGCAGGAGCAGGCAGGGGCCGCGCGGCGCGCTCCGGGGCGGGGCGTGGGGAACTGCGAGGGGCGGGGCTGGCGAGAGCTCCCTGGTGCACGGCGCTGCTTCCGCCCCGCGCGGCCCCGCCCCCGCGCCGCGTCGGGCGGTCACGTGACGGCCGCGCGCGTTCCCGGCCGCTGCGGGCTCCGAGGCCGAGGAGAAAAGACTGCGAGGCGGCCGCGGCCGGGGCCCGAGAGGTGGGAGTCGGGGCGAAGCCCTCGCGGGGGCAGGGGCAGCTCTGCCACTCCGGGATCCTGACATGGGGAGAGGAGTGACGGCCCGCGGTGTCACCTCCAGTGGCGACCCGCTCCTGGTGGGCCCTCAGCGCCGGGCCTGAGGGGCGGCGGCGGGGTCAGGGGCCGGGACGGTGGTGGACGCCCTTGGGCCGGCGCGGCCGCGGCTGTCCGCCCCAAGCGACAGGGACAGCGCAGCCCTTCCCGCCGCCCCCACCGGGGCTGCTGTCGCAGGCGAGGAGACTGTGACGGGCTCGGCTCTGTCCGAGCCACCGCAGCCCCTGCCCTGGGCGACGGCCCGGAGCTGGTCACGGTCGGGGTGCGAGAGGCGGAGCAGCGGCCATTACTGCGCAGCCTCTTCCGCCGGTGTCCTCGTCGCTGCCTTTGGTGGCGGCCTGGTCCCTCCCCTCTCCCGTGGTGTCAGGCCTCTACCGGGAACCGTCTGGCCCCAGGATTTAGGGGCGGCGATGGTTTGAGGGTATCCTGCTCCCTGCTTCCCGTGTGGAGGCCTCTGCCCGGCCTTGGGTCAGATAGCAGCCGGGGCGCACCGGCCCTGCGTTTTGTCTTCTCCCAGAGTGTCTCTAGCCGTTTCTTTCTCTTCCTCTCTCCCACCTCCTCCTGCTCAGGGTCTGGGTCTTGCCTCATCCGAAGAGTAGCCCCTCCACCGAGTCCTGGTTTAAACCCAGCGCTGCACAGTCTTCGTTGTTTTGATGGTTATTAAAGCATCGGAATCTTTAAGAGATCTCTCGATACCCGTTGAGCCTCCAAAACCTCAATGCGTCTTCAAGCGGAGGCTGTTGCTTTGTTCTCGTGGCTGCTGGGTGCGGAGTTCTCTCCCTACCCGCATCCCGGCTGAGAGAGTACGGGTCTTCCTTGTTGTCGCCGTTCCGCTGTCCCTGGGCGTCTAGAGAAAGGCTGCAAAATTGTTTTGAGTTTACACACACATGCTGGCAACTAGATCTTTTTTCCTTGTAATCCATTTTCTTATATGTGTTTGTTTCTTTTCCCTAAGTGCTGTTTTAGTGAGCACTTATTGTTCAAGTTTCGAAAGTGCCTACGTTTTGTTCCAGTAATATTTTTGTAATATTAAACAGTGTGAAGTTGAGGGAGGAGAAAGCCAAGAAATAATTGAAAACGCTTTGTCTTTGTATGGTTGACATTTCAGGTGCTGGGGCGCACCCCTCCTTTGCAATGTGTGTACTTTTTAAAATAGGATGTGGAAGAATAACGTTGGCATTGAAAGCAGTATATAGTTACAGAAATTGGAAAGCTTAAGACTGTTTTTTGTCTCTTTAATAGATGGATCTATATTTAGACTTTTAAAAGACGTGGCATATAGGACGCGTGTAGAAAATGACTCGCACAAGTAACAGGGTTTATGATGTTGGCTTTGCTGTTTCTATGACCAGCAAATACTGTTTTTGTTGAGTGTCTGGGTGCTCTAAAAACACAGAAAATAGGTCAAGTAAATCTCATTGTAAACGGAAAACCGGAAGAGTGAGAGCCACTCTAGAAATAGATTTTGGATGTGTTTGTTTTAGCCTCGTATGTCTTAAATTGGAGCATTTCGTTAAGCCTGATCTTTGATTTAGAATTTATGTTTCAAATGGGCCAATGTAAGTTGTGGGAAAAATGAAAATAATGGTCAACATTTGAAGGTTTTTGTTATTTACTGGTGGTTAAAATTTGGTAGAATTGTAATCATCAGGAAAAATGTTTTTCCAACTAGCTGGTCATTAGACAAGAGGAAGAAAAAGAGAAATGGCGTTTTTTCTTTTAGGGGACATATGTCAACTGGTAAAGTATTTTATTTCAGTTTCCACCAACTTGGATTGTCGGAAGAATGGGGTAGAATGTTTTTGAAAGGATCCGAAAATGATTTCTTGATTTAATAGAAGAAAAAGATAGTATTAAATCTTTTCTTTTCACACTATTGGTCTGTTCAAAGAATATTATTTTGTGTATTAGCCATTTACTAGCGTGAAACTCCTGACACACTGTCAGTTGGGTATTGAATGCTTTTTTCCCCCAGTGTTAGTAATAGAAGGTGCTGAGCCATTTTCATTCTCTTGCCTCATTTCTGGTTGTGCCTAAGGAACCTGAGTCCACAGGCTGGATTAGGAACAATCTTTGTGGGTATGGAAACCATCTTATTAACATTCTGCTACAACCACCTGTACTTATTTATGGACTATTTAGTGTTCATGGCTTACTACTTTTGGGGTTAATTAAAACAAAACCTGTTGCTAAATGCCTGTTAATTAAAGTTTAGAATTTAGAATTACAGAAGCATAGACTAGGGTAAAATGACAGAGACCTGGGAGTTATGACTTGACCAAGGTCACACAGATAATTAGTAGCAGAGCCTTTCTTATTTACAAAATGGTTGCAAGCTATGAAACTGCTGTTTGATGTGATTAAAAGACAATATTTTTCACATTCACATTTCGTGTTTTGCTAAAATAAAATATAAAGGCTGTATTTTTTGGGGGGGAGTGTAAAGGTTTAATGCTTGAGTATGAAGATTGTGAAGGCCTTAGATTGCCATACAGTAATGTTTGCAAAGGGAAGTGCTATACAGTAAGGGAAATAATTCTTTAAAATAGAATAGTGTAAAGTATTGGGCCCCATTTAGTTGAAATGAGTTTTGACTGAAGACTTGTTTCTCAATGTGACCTGTAAGCTGAGTTTTAACAAGGGATGAGAGGGAAAGCTAAAAATGGAAACATTAGGGCGTTTGGTTACATCTCTTGATTTGTGACTCTTTCTGAAGAAATTTTAAGTTGTATCTGTTAAATTACACCCAATTTCTCTATTCCTTTTTTTTTTTTTTTGCTGGCCCTTGCTTTTTTTTTTTGAGTTTGTATACCAAAAGGTGGAAGGTTTCCAGTGCTTTTCTTTTCTGTCACTGATAGCTTTTATATAGAATGTTTCCTGTTTTGTGTATTTTGAATAAATAAAGAGTAAAAACTATTTTATTAAACATTAGCTGTTAGTGATTGGAAGAATACAGGAAGTCTTCAAATCTTTATGATTTGGTTTTGTTATATGCATCTTTTCTTGATTCGTTCTTTAAAAAAGATAATCATTAATTTGAATTGGTTATCTGAAAAAAAAACTTGATTTTTGTCGACCTTGTGACTGACTTGAAAGTAGAATTGTAATTAATCCTAGATATTTTCAGAGAAAATAATAGTATATACAAATAATAGTGTGAATTTGTTGAGTGGTCACAAATTATAACTAGTGCAATATTACTTCCTTTTCGGTCATACTTATGTAGTTGGTTGAGTGGGTAAATGATTTAAATCCACTAATGATCTCTAAACTCTTTTATATATTTTTAAATTTAGTCTGTCACTTTTTTCCTCCACAGTTGTTAAGAAATATTTAGTTTCAAATTTTTTTCTTTTTATGTTGCCTTCCTAGTTCATTTCTGTATAAATTTGCACCTAAAGAAGGAACCTTAACTCATTAACTAATTGATATTTGCATGTCAAAATATTTGGTATGTTTTACTGTAGTATTCATAAATTGTATGGAGTTTGGTGTATAATTTACAAATCTTCATTGCAGCAGGATTTATATATGTTTGAATTATTTATGTTTGCCAAATTAATTCTGGCCTGTGGTTAGAATTACACTGTTCTCTGTTATGTCTTTCTTGAAAGTAAAAGCCTCTCCCTTCCTCCATTTAAAAAAATCTTTAGTTTCAAATGTAGAAGTTCTCTGAGGGCTACTTCACATGACCATTCTGGGTGTGACATGCCATGCTGTATGTTGTGCGCAGTTGGCATTATAATTCTCAGAGGCTATAGTTGATGAGTCAATTTGGCAGAATTGGGACCACCTAAAACAGTCAATTTTGATCACGACAGAATATGCGATTTTCTTTATCTGTGCCAGCAAAGGTGTGGGTAAAGTAACATGGAGTTCGTTTTCTTTATTCACTGATTCTTGTAGCAAATTGCCAGTTTTGTGTTTAAAAAAAATTGTCAATATGCAAAACATTCTAAACCTGCGTTGCCCACTAAGGTAGCCACTAGCAACATGGAGAAATTGAGCACCTGATATGTGTCTGGTCTGAATTGAGTTGTGTGATTTCAGTGTGTACACACACACCCATGCACATGAATGTAAAATATCACAATAACCATTTATTTATATTGAATACATGTGGAAACAGTAATGTTTTGAATATATTGGGTTAAATAAAATAAATTATTTAAATTAATTTTACCTGTTTATTTTTATTGTTTTTAATGTGGCTAATAGGAAATTTGAAATGATGTATGTGGCTTACATGGTATTTCTATTAGATAATGCTATTTTAGACCTTTTCTCTGAGATACAGTGTATTGAAGAAAATATTTTTTTGAAAGAGATACTTGAGTTTGAATCCCATCTCCCAATATTGATAGCATTGTGATTTGGATTAAATCCTTGTGGGCTTGGGTTTCCTCATTTGTAAAATGGGCATAATCATATCTCAAAAGGTTGTTTTGAGGATTCAGTGGTATAAGGGTCTGCTAGTGCTTCCTGAACTTTAATATGCATATGAGTCACCTGGAGATGATTCTGTAGGTGAGATGCGGCACTCCAGATTTTTCGTTTGTAAGGAACTCCCAGGTAATGCTGATATTCCTGGTTGGGGACCACAGTTTGCGTAGCTGGGATCTAGATTACTACATAGGTTTTAGTTCATTTTCCTTCCCCCAACCATTATTATCTATGTAGAGTCTACTTTGAAAATTATCCATGGGATATAGGAATTGGAAAAGTCATTGTAGCTTGTAAGATTTAGTATAATTGGTTTTATTCTTGGATATTTTTATCTGCGTTCTGGAGAATTCATTGCAAGTGAACAATAGTTGGGTAAATGATGAGCTTGTCAAAAGATATAAAGATAGCTTGAATTTTATGTTTGTAAATGTAGTAACTCCCTCTGTTGGATTTTAAGTTCTTTAAAGAAAGGATTAGAACTTAGATATCTTTTATCTTTTGTGGCTGGATGCCTTGTTCACAATTAGAACTTAAATGTTGTGTTATGTGAGTAAATAAATTTAGGTTTTTGATATTTTATTTCTCTTAACAGTTATTTTAGGAGCTTTTTCATTCATCTAACAAATATCAGTTTAAGTCAACAAAAACTGATTGGCAGTTTACTAGCCACCTAGAAGTATACAAACAGTCCCTATCTTCTTGTGGCTTGTAGTTTAATAGAAGAGTTGGAAACAAACAAATAATTTCAGTCCATATGGTAAGTTCAGTAATAGAAGAATGTATAAAATATAGGGGAGGGAACAAGTTTTTTGGAGGTAGAGGAAGTGCTATTAGCATTCATAAGCTGTAAAAGAGATAGAGTG